TTCTAACCCAGACTATCCAAACTATTACCATTTCAACAATTACTAAAAAAAAAAAAAAAAAAGGCAACTGGAAACTTATAGCATGGGGAGAAGGATCTTTCTCAGCTATCCCTGCTTCCTTTCCCCTCCAAGGAAGCTGTGGCTCAAAATGTATGATTATATTCTTAGAATAAGGATAATTATGATGGTGAATTTTACTAAATTTTACTCCATGCTAATCACTTCATATAATCTCATTTAATTCTCACAATTGCATTTTACAGATGAGGAAACATGTTCAGAAAAGCAGTGTAACTTGTTCCAACATACACATCTGGTGTTACAGCTGGAATTGTAAACTTGGTTGAAAGTTAGTTTCATCTGAACATCATGCTACAGTGTCCCTTTAGTGGAGGGCCAGTTGAAGATCCAGTGAGATGAGGATAATGTTTTTACAGCATCTAGCACAGTACTGGCTGCTAGGTATCCCCTGGAACACTCCAGATCCTCTGTCCCTCTTTCCCTTGCTGGCTGTCACTTGACCTAATTCCCCCTCCTCTGTACATATTCTGCTGTGGAGCCCTAGGAGCTCTTGGTGCAGTTTAGCCTTCAGGTAGGCTTGCAGTATGGGGCAGGGGAGCTCTGGGGCCCTACCTTAGGACTGGTGTCTGAAACCTTCCATCCAACTACCAAATGCAAGACTCATGGGAGGTTCTTACCTCCTTCCTTTCATACCTCCCTCACCTAGCTGGGATTCGCCCACACACTGACAACTTCCATTCCTTTCTGTGGCTTTGGTCTTCCTGTTTCATATGTAGCATTACAGATCCTCCACAGTGGCTGTCAGAATAACCTTTCTCAAACAACCCGAACCAGATCATGTCCCTACTTAAAAATGTCTTCAGGGTTGAGTCCGAATTCCTCAGCTTGCTCTCTGTCGGACAAGTATTACTATGCGCCTAAGCCTTCTTTACAGGCACAAGGAGTAGTAGCAAACCAAGCATAAAAAAAAGGCCTGCCCACATGAAACTGACATTCGCGGGGCACTCCACGGAGTGGACCCCAGCATTCCTTTCCAGCTTTATATGGTCCAACTAACTTCCAGCCCCCCCACTCCCATTGCAGCGTTGGCTTTGCCCAGAACAAATGCCCCCTGTAACTAACTGTGTCTCACCCACAAAGTCCCCCAGACTGGCCTAGATGGAGAGAACAGTTCCCGCACCTGACACTCCTCATGGGCTCTGCTGCCCCACTGAAAGACCTAGGGTGCCCCCGGAAATTGAGGCCCCCATTGCCTCTGGCCCGCAGCCCCTCCCCTACCCTTGGGATTGTGAGCTAAGAGCCAGGAGTAAAAGGCTTGGTCCGTGGCGCCGGTGCCCACCTGGGCTGGTCCCCTTCTCTGCACAGGCAGAGGGGAAGGAGTGCCTATCCCCAGCCCCATCGAGGAATGCCTCATCCCCAGGTGAACGTGGAGCCGTAGGTAGGGGTTACGGAGGGGCCGCCCGACAGATCCATGCGATTTCCTGCCGGGTCCTGGCGTCCAGGCTGCCCTGGGCAGGCCTCGAGACAGCCCGGCGGCGAGGCAGGAAGCAGAGGGTTCTGGTCCCCAAGGTGCGGAGTCGGAGTTGGGGGCCCAGTGCTGGCCTCCAGAGAAGGGGTGGGGTGAGCGCGGGGAGGCGTGGGGCGTCCCTGCCAGAAAGCCCACCAGCATGCTCGCTCTTGGGGAAGCCCGAGCTGCCACTCGTTCCTGTTTCTAGAAACTTCAAGGGTCATACTCAGCTTTGCCTTCCGGGGCGGCGCCCTACCTTTCTCCTTTCTCACATCCCTCCGCCACTCATCAGGTTAATTGCAGATTTCCTTTTTCCAATTTGTTCGCACCCCACAAACCACCCTCCACTCCCCACCAGTATCTGACCAAAATATAGCTCCCTTCCTGAATATCGCACCGCCTGCCACAGGCTGCAATTGTCACAACCTGTGATCTCCCTGCCAACTTTTCCTCCAGCCACCAGTCCTCTTGGGGACCTGCCTCCTCGCTATGCTTTTGCATCTCCAATTCCCTTGGCCAGGAGTCTCCCCCCTCCCACCCCACGTGATTCATCCTTAGATACCCTAGTTACACACTGGTGAATCCTTGCAGGTCCCCACCCCAGTCCCAGTGTCTCTTTCCCTATTGCATCCACAGCAGCTGGGACTTGCCCTTGTCCTATGTGTCACTTGTCCCTACATACAGTTGCCTCCCCTACCTACCAGACTCTAGCTTCTTGAGAGTGCTGGCTGGGTCTTGTTCTCTCTGTCCCCCAAACACATAGTACCTGACACAGTAGTCATCAGAAAAAAAGGAAAGAAAAAAGAAGAAAAGTGAACAAATGGAAGATTTGAGTGGCTGCTGGATATAACGAAGGAGCAGGGGTATTGGTAATTCAGTTGAGACGCCTTCTTGGAGGCCGCAATGACAAGGGTTAGATGTCATGCAGAAAAGATTTAGTGCAGTGAGAAGACTTCAGGAAGACCAGAGTGTTGAAGTACATTAATATAACAGACATTGAACACCTTCTATTGTCAGGCCTCATGTTGGGCACCGGGGACCTCGGTCTGCACTCAGATTGCATCCTTTGTAGCAAAGAAGAAAGACAAGGTAGGCAATGCCAATACAGAGTACCAAGTGTCACATGGTGAGCACAAGATGTGACCTTACAGAGGAGCACCTGCAGCCTCTGGGATGGGAAGGAAGGGTGTCAGAAAGTCTTTCCAAATAAGAGCACAATCCAACCTAAGACCCAAGGGAGGTCCTGAAAAGTGGGTAAGGGGTGCTGGAGTGGGAGAGGGTGCTGGAGTGAGCAGGGCTGGTATGCCACAGGAAGAAGTCATACTTATCCTGGGGGCATGCAAGAAGCTGGGGTGTGACCAGATGCTCTTGTAGGCCAGGACTACACAAAACCTCAGCTCTGACCCCTTGTCTGAGAAGCTTCCTTTCCCTGGTGGCAGGTTGGGTCCCATCTGTGTTCCCTAAGTAGACTGATCATGTTTCTTTTTCAGAGCAGGGGTTGGCTGTTCCTTGGGAGTTGAGGCCAGGTCTTAATCTGCTCTGTGTCCCAAGTTCCAGGCACCATATCTTGCTCATGAATACATGTTTGCTGAATGAATGGGTTATTCCTTATTTCAGTGGATTTCAACAGCCCTTACCCTCAAGGTCACATCCTTTCACATCTGGGACCTTTTCTTTATGCTGCAAATGACATTTCATTTGGGAAGAGGAGACTCAATTCTAGTCCTGGCTTCACCATTTACTGCAAGTCACCTACCTAATTCTGAAACCTCAGTTTCCCCATCTGTAAGATGAGGTACCCATATGAATGGAATCTGTAAGTCTCCACAGACATGCATGAGTTTCATTCCTCTGAGCAAGCTTTAAGTTCCTTGATGGCAGGGACCAGGGTTCTCCCATCCCATAGCCCAGGCTGAGCATATTACCAATACAATGTTTAGTCCTCTTGGTTGGTAGATAGCAAAACACCGAGGAAAGGACACTTAAGGTGAAGTTGTCAGTCTGAAGTGACCTTGAGCTAAGTCTTCCCCTCTTTGTTTTCTTTGCCTTCCTTGGAAAGTAGGGATAATAATCCTTGCCTGACAGAGCTCACAGGACCAATGGAAATCCTGGGTGTGACAGTGCTTTGTGAACAGAGTAGATAATGAAAGAAATAGTTCAGCACATGATTAATCATTGATTAAAAATTAAACAACCATAAAGTAGATGAGACAAGGCTTGATCATCAGAAGACAGACTCAGGGCACCTGCTGACTGGTTTTGAGAGGCAGAGATGCTGGGATGCTGTTCTTCTAGAAGATAGAGGGTTAGGCTGACAGGTGCCTGGCTCAGCAGCAGAGGTATCTGATCTTGCTGGGGTCAGCCCTGAAACCCAGATGAGATAGCTGTAGTAGGTTCATGGAGAGGGATTATGCAGCCAGTCCTTTGCTCCTTTCTCTTCCAGCTTTCCCAGGCTTGCATTGTTTCCCATCTTTAGCTTCAAGGGACCCTGGCATGAGAAGGTCTTGTTAGTCCCAAAGGCTTTGGCCACACAGTTGCTGGTTTCCTTTGGTGAACCTATGGGACCTGCAGTGCTACCCTGAGAAAGTCTAGTCCCAAGCCCAAGTCTAGCTCCTCCTAGCCTCTGACATTTTGGGGCAGGGTTTATGGGAAAGAACAGTGTTTTGTCTCAACTATTACTCAGACCAGAAGCACTTGGGGTTATAGGAGGGACTGTCTGGAGGCAAAACCTGACATCTAAAGTGAGTGAGGATTAAATGAGAAAATGACACAGGAGCACCTTAGGATCTATTTGTCTCAAGCCTGGAATTATATGTATGGCTGGTATGTTCACTCCAGCCACTGGGGCTTCTCTGTCTCAGGACAGGGTCTCTGTTTCACAAGAAGTTTATGTGTGAAGAATACATGTTTGATCTTAGGGTAAAGGCAGAGATAAGGCAGGGTGTGAAGATGGACAGAGGAGGCTAGTTCCTTGGTGCTGTGAAAGGCTAGATGGCCAGAGGAGATCTGGGCATGGCCCGCCCCTGCAGGGGAGACTGGTGCTGCCTAGCAGGGCTGGCCAGTGGAGCTTTCTCACTGTTCTATCCCCCAGCAGAAGCAGCACCAGCTCCAGTGTCAGGCAGGGTTTGGATCTACTCACTCAATATGTAACTGAGCAAATATCTACATTTCTTTGAACCTCTGTTTTCTTGTTCATAAAACGGGGAAGAACAATAGTACCATCTACCAAGGTGGTCTGGACCAGAAGTAAGACCATAATGAGAAGCACTTGGTGAACCACTGCATGCTGAGAATATTCATTTTGTACCTTTCATTTCCTCTGCTGTTGGAGGTGGAACTGCTGTCCTGGTTGGGACCTGGTTTGGGCTTTAGGACACCTCAGCTGCAGCCCTAGTCTGTGAGAGAACAACTTTGCCCTGTGGGACGAAGGTGCCTTCTGAATCCACTGCTCTCTCAAGCCAGCTCTTAGGATATGACAAAGGCCAATTTCCCAGATGGAGGCCAGGGGGGTGCCAGGAGGGTCAAGGGGACAGGAGGTGAGTCAGAGAGCAAGTAGAAACTATGGTTGCATGAGTTCACCTGCTCTGCTACTGAGCTTTCCCAGGACCCTCCACCTTCAGCACCTTTGTCTTTCCTTCCTATGTCTCCTTCATCCACCTCTTGTCCTTAATCTAGCTTGTGACACTGTCTGGGGAGGGTGTAGTTCTGGGATGAGGTCTAAGGCCACAGAAGCTACCAGGTCCTTGGGAGCCTCTTTTGGGACTTCTTGACCTTGGAAACTTCTTTTCCCTCTCTCCTGGGCCCCAGGTCAATGCCCCAGCCATAACAGGAGGCAGCCCAAGATAAATGAATTTTCCTGGAAGGATGTTACCAGTGCCTTGTCCCTGGCCAACATGGTTCTGGGGCTCTTCTCCATCTTCTGCAGCGTCAGCAGGTAGGTCTGGGGCCCAGCATGCTCTTAGCCAAGTGCTGGAGCCCATGGCATGAGGAAAGGTGAGGGGGAGTCTAGAGAGGCAGGCCCCACAGCCCTGGGGTCAACTGGGGGGCAGGAAAAAGAACAATGTCTTCCAAGTCAGAGGCCAAAATTCTAGCCTCAGTTGTGCCACCAATATGATATACAACCTTCACTAGGTCATAGCTCTTGGCCTCAATTTCTCCTTCCATAAAATTGAGGTGCTTGCATTATGATCTCTGAAGTTCCTTAAGTTATGGAAGCCTAGAATGGTTTTTATAAGAAAAATCAAGAGATTTTCATCTTCCATTCATATTTTCTGATTCTTAAATGACCTGGCAGAATATTTGAAATCAGCACTGTTCTGGAAAGTCCAAAACACATATTATGTGCCTCCAAAGCAATTTATATAAGCAAATTATGTTTCTATGAATTGAATCATGTTTCAATGTCTTTGAGAAGTCAGCTTCTTAAAGATAAATCCTTTATAATGCAAATAATATCCTCCTAATCTATTTGATTCTCTATAGCCATCAGCAAGTGATTTCTTTTTGGATCTTTTTTTTTTTTTATCCACATGAGAAGAAAATGATATTTAAGCTCCCTCCTATATTAAAAAAATTTTTGATTCTCTAATTTTGGATTTTTGGAGTCTAATAAACTGTGCACATGGGTATATCTGCAAGCAGAAAATCTCTGTCTTATTAGTTCAGCCAAATCTTCTGGGAGTGTGGTTTTTCATACCACAATAGTATGATAAATATTTTTTATTTAGCCTTAGTTCTCTTTTAATCCTTAGGTCTGGGTCTAAACAAGGGACAGGTGAAGTCTGAGGTTAAGCTCTCTGTTTGCTTCTGCTAGGCCACCTAAGCATTGTAGTCACCTTGCAGTCTGGGAATGGACCTCCTAGGACAGGTTGCTTAGAACTATGGTGGCTATTTTCAGAGGGCATTGGGAACATGTGCTGGACAAGGTTCAGGACTCAAGAACATGAGGTCTGAAAGAGTCCTTTGAAATCATTTAAAGCATCAAAATACACAAGACCACAACTGGTAGAACTGCAAGGAGAAATTGACAAACCCACCATTTTAGTAAAAGATTTAAACACCTATCTGTCAGTAGTTGGCAGATCCTGCATACAGAAAATCAGCAAGGACATAGTTAAATTCTAAAACACCATCAGTCACTGGATATAATTGACATTTATAGACTATCCAATACCAGTAGAATACACATTTTTCTCAAGCTCACTTAGAACATTAACTAAGATGGACCACATTCTGGGTCATAAAATACACCTTAACAAATTTAAAAATCAGAAATCATACAAAGTATCATCTCAGGTAGCATGGAATTAAACTAGAAATCAATAATGGAAAGAGAGCTGGAAAATCCAGCACTATTTGGAGATTAAACAACATATTTCTAGATGATACATGGATAAAAGAAATCTCAAAATAACATCTAAAAATATTTTGAAATGAAAATACAATTTACCACAATTTGTTGGATGCAGGAAAAGCAGGGCTTAGATGGAAATTCATAGCCTTGAATACATTTACAGTCATGCATTGCTTAACAATGTGATGTTCTGAGAAACAAAACAGTAGGTGATTTTGTTGGAATATCATAAACTAAGAAAGCTGTGACATCACTAGGTGATATCTTCTGGGACCACTGTCTTTTATATTATACATATGGTTTGTAGTAGACTAAAATGTCATTATATGGTACATTGCTGTATTAGAAAATAAGATCAAAAATCAATAATCTAAACTTTCACCTTCAGAAACAAGAAAAAGAAGAGCAAATTCAGAGCAGAAAAAAAGAAATAATAAAAATAGGGTTAGCAATATAGCTCAGCAGTGGAGCACTTGCCTCACATGTGCAAGGCCCTGAGTTCAACCCTCAGTTCCACACAAAAATAAAAAATAGAGTGGCAATTAAAGAAATTAAAATAGGAAATTAATAGAGAAAAATCAATGGAATCATTAGCTGATTTTTTGAAAATGTCAATAAAATTGATATACTTCTGACCAGGATAACCAAGAAAAAGGAGAGAAGACACAAATTACCAATATCAGAAATTAAAGAGGGGCCATCACTACGTTCGTACAAATGTGATAGCCTGGGTGAAATGGATCAATTCCTTAGAAGATATAAGCTACCAAAACTCACACAAGGAGAAACAGATCATCTGAATAGGTTTATATCTATTAAATAATTCATTTAGCATGTACCCCTCATTTTGCAAGTGGAGGGGAAAAGGCCTAGAGCAGGATAGTGATTTATCTGAGAATTCATGATGAGATGGTGGCAGGGGCTGGATTAGGACCTAAGAATGATACCTGGACCATCAAATATGCCTGGAATTTAGAGTCAGAGGGAGCCTTAGAGATTACCCACAGGGATTTAGAGAAATCCTTTAAGAGGATGGGTTAAACTGGGCCCAGTTGCTCATGCCTGTAATCCCAGTGTCTCTGGAGGCTGAGACAGGATGATAGCAAGTTCAAGGCCAGCCTTGGCAATTTAATGAGACCCTGTCTCTAAATCAATAGATCAATCAATCAGTTGATCAATTGAAAAGGCTTGGGGTGGTTAGCTCAGTGGTATATTGAACTCTGGGTTCAGTCCTTAGAACCAAAAGATAAAAAATAAAAAAAGACTATGGGTTATGTGTTTGAGAAGGATATAGGTGTGTGTGAGGGTGTGAGTGTATATGAGTGTAAGGTGGAATATACTAGAAAGGAGGTGAGCATAGAGGATATGCTTGGGTGGGGATAAGTGTTCAGGGAGTATATTAGTGTATTGGTGGCGGGAGAAGTTGTCCAGTGGAGACTTAAATGAACTGACCTGTTTGGGCCTGCTGGCCTGCACTTCAGGAAACCTCAGTCTGCCTCCTGGACGCTTCTGATCAGCTTCCTGCTAGACATGGCAATAGGGGCTATGAACAGACAATTCAACATATTATGCAAATCAGGTGAGTCCTGGCTTCCGGCCCCAAATCCCTTCCCCTGGGAGCGTCCATCTTGGGTCACTACCCACCCTCTAACATCCAGCAGACTTTTTCACCATCTCTCATTTCTGTTCATGTGCATCTAAGAATAGCTGAGCAGCCCTGGAGCAGGAGTTAGGGAGCCTTGCAGCCTAGATCAGCTCCTCTGCAGGCTCACTTATCCATCTTTGGGTAATTTTTGTCCTGGCATTCAGTATCTTTATTGGCCCTGCCTCCCTGTCCTGGGTGGATCCAAGTATTAGAGAGGAAGTGGGGAAGGTGGGGGGGGGCAGTGGGGAGATGAAAAACTACCTTAGGCAGAGCATCTGGTTTAAGATTCCAGGAAATGTTTCCCTATAAGATTTGGCTTGCATAAAGGGTCCCACTGCTTGTCGTTTTGCAGTCGATTGTAATGCAACTTTTAAGTTATGGGGAAACTAATACCTGGAAGGATTTGCCAAAGGCCACAAGGTCATTCAGAGGCAGAGCTTGGAGGAGACCCCAGACTTTGATCTACAGACCACTCTAGGGACCTTAGGACCCCTCCAGCTCTGCCCCCCACCCCATGTCCACCCAGGAAGGCTAAGGTGACAACATATGAGTGTTGGGCCTCTCGAACAGGAGCTGAGCTGAATGACTTTGCTGTCTTCACCACCTTTGGCCTGGCCTCGGCCCTTCTCCTTGGTGCGGATGGGCCGCTGAATGGGTTCCTGGCTGTCCTCTATGTGTTAACCACTTCTTTCCGCCTGTGTTTTTATTCATCTGGTGAGTGGAACCCACGTAGCCTTAGGAAGGTGAGGGTAGGGCACCACAGAGAGGAAGGAGCTGTTGGAAGCTAGAAGCCCTCTTCCTTCCTTCTTGCATGCCCCAAGCCCTGCAAAGGTTTCAGGCTACCTTGATAGAGTCCTCATCTGAGAGAGGTCTTCATTTATTGGATCAACTGTACCTCTTTCATTGTGTGGTTTTTGGTTGGAGAACATCATTTCATGGACTCTAGAAATGGGGGTCATACTCCAGTTCCCCCCGAAACAGGAGAAAGCTAACCATGGTAAGGGAAGTTTCTTTCCTAAGGCCACAAAGATAGGGAGGGCAAGTACAGGAGGGGCAGAGGGGAGATGAAAAACTACCTTAAGCAGAACATCTGGTTTAAGATACCAGGAAATGTTTCCCTGTAAGATTTTGCTTGCATAAAGGGTCCCACTGTTTGTCATTTTGCAGCTGATTGTACTGTAGCCTTTAAGTGATGGGGAAACTAAAACCTAGAGAGGGAAGGATTTGCCAAAGGTCACAAGGTCAGTCAGAGGCAGAGCTGGGAGGAGACCCCAGACTTTGATCTACAGACCACTCTAGGACCCTATCAGCAGGGACTTCCCAGGGGCCAGGGTACATGCAAACCCACACAACATCTGTTTTGAACAACTAAGTGATTCTGCAGCTGCCACTGCCTCTGGGCCCAAGGGAATTTTGCAGTCTAGGAGGGAAGATCCAGGGTTGGGGATGTAGCTCAGTAGGAGAGCACTTGCCTAGGGTGTACAAGGTACTGGGTTCAATTACCAGTACCACAAACAAATAAGCCTATGGAGGGAAGACCCAGAGAGAAGGGGGCTGGATTCATTTAGATGCCCCTAGATCAGGAGAAGCAGCTAACCTGACCCCATGTTTCTTTCCCTGGCAGAAGTTTCCTTATCCTATAAGGGTCTACCCTGCCCCTATGCTTCCTGTGTTTTGGCTTCCACCTCCCTTCTGACCAAAGGCAACCCTTTCATCCTCGGCTGCATGGCTTCACTTATGATGCTATTCATGATAGACCAGAGCTACTACCCATATGATGAAATTCTGGAGTCAGACAGTTGGAAAAAAGCAGTTTATGTGGGAGGTGAGTGAAAATACTCTTTCAAATGTCACTAGTGGTGGATCTATTAATATTGCCTTTCCTGGCTACCCCAGAATTCCCTATCTACTCTTCTACCTTGCTTTATTTTTCACCATAGAATTCATCATCATCTGACACAGTATATATTTACTAGTTTTTAAAAATGATCTGTGAACACTTAACCTACACTTCTGAGCGTAGTGGCACATGCCTGTAATCCTAGGAACTCAAGAGGCTGAGGCAGGAGGATTGCAAGTTTAAGGCCAGCCTCAGCAGCTTAGTGAGACCCTGTTTCAAAATAAAAATAAAAAAAGGACAGGGGATGTAGCTCAGTGATAAAGTGCCCCTGGGTTCAATTCCCAGTAACAAAACCAAACAGACACTAAATCTACCCCAAATCCATTCTCTTGTATTAATATACTATAATCCCCAATTCCTAGAATTATACCAATAAATTATACCAAGCATTATGCCAATGTTTACTCATTATTTGTTGAATGTTAATGAGTTCTATAGAAATTTAGGGAACACCTATCATGTGCCAGGTACTGGGAAGCAATCTACACATAGTTCCTGCCTCAGAATTGACAGATGGGGGAGAAAGACACCAAAGTAGAAATAACTAGAAGCATATGGTCTTTTTTTTCTTCCAGTACTGGGAATTGAACCCAGGTTGCTCTACCACTGAGCCACATCCACAGCTACCTCCTTTTTTTGAGACAGGATCTTGTTAAGTTGCTGAGACTGACCTTGAAGTTGCAATTCTCCTGCCAGACTAGAAATAGATAGTTTTGGTGTACCATGAAGAACAGGATGATGCTCTGAGACGGTGTCATAGAGTGGCCTGGTATAGATTGAGATGGCCTAAAGGGAGGGAAAGGATCCTTAAGGTAGTGACATTTAAGTGAGTCCTGCAAGTTGAGCCTTCAGGTGAGTAGGAGGCTCAGACAGAGGAAACAGTTTTTTGTTCTGAGCCAGAAGGTGTTGGAAGTATTAGCGGAGCGGTGTGGCTGGAACTTGCCAAGAACCCGTGATACAAAATGAGACCAGTGAAGTAGGCAGTTTAGACAGGATTGGGATTTGATCTAAAGGCCAATGAGAAACCTCAAGCATATTTTTGCAGGAAGTGACGTGATCAGGGAGGCAGTTTCCAAGGATCACTCTGACTCCATTGTGGAGAACAGAGGTAGAGCCCTGAGGCTGGAAGCAGGAAAGCCAAACTTTTGTTCAGATGGGAGAAGATGATAGTGTGGAGCTGAGAAGTGACTAGACTTCAGAAACATGTTGAAATAGAGTAGATGCCATGGGAAGGGGAGGAGTCCTGGGTGACTCAGAAGTTTTGAGTTTAAGCAATCCAGCGCTGGGTTTCAGGCTCTGATGTTCCTGCCACACTGGGGCCCTGGAAGATGTCTTCCTAGTTTTTCCTTCATTTACAGCTTTCTTTAAGGAATTTTGATTTTTTTCTTTTAAAATGTGCACACATAAGCAAAACAATAATCTTGGGGATACTGTTTTTCCCATTATTCCTTTGTGGTGAGTCTGCTGTAGTTTATAGGGTCCTTGGTTCTATCCTGATCTTGCCTTTAGGGTTCATACCTTTTGTAGCATTAGCACCAACAACCCTATCCAAGTTCTCAGTGCTGGCCCTTCCTATTCCTTAGGTGGTGGAGGCAGAATGGTGGTGAGAATCTGGGTTTTGAGCTTAACAGATCTGAGTTCAAGTTCTAATTTCAGCACATAGTATCTGTGTGACTTGGCTAATACCTCATTGTTTTGAGCTCATATTTTTCATCTGTGAAACAAAGGCAAAAATCCCTACTTTGCAGGATCATTGAAGTAAAATGAGGTAATTCTGAATTCTCTGGCACAGATGTGTGCCAGAGGTGATAACTCCTAGCCAACGCCCCCCACCCCCCGCACTCCGTCTTCTCCAGCTTCCCTTTCCAAACTCACAACAAGATTTCCCACAGTGTTCTTTGCTCCTGTAGATACTACTGATGCTCTCTTCTCAAAGTAAACCATGCATTTGGCCTCAGCCTTCCAGGTTGTCTTGGCTGTGTGAGACAAGGAGGAAACTGTATCTCACAGATTTTGACACCAGTTAATACATGAATCTCATTGGGTGGATTTCCAGATGGCTGCTGTTAGCTCTATTCATAGTAGCTAAGCTATGGAACCAACCTAGGTGTCCTTCAACAGATGAATGGATAAAGAAAATGTGGTATATATACACAATGGAATATTACTTAGTCATAAATAAGAATGAAATTGTGGCATTTGCTGGTAAATGGATGGAACTGGAGACTATCATGCTAAGTGAAATAAGCCAATAGCAAAAAAAAACCAAAGGGTGAATATTCTCTCTGATATGTAGATGCTAACACACAGTGTGGGGTAGAGAATAGAAGTTCATTGGATCAGACAAAGGGGAATGAAGGGAAGGGAGGAGGATGGGAATAGGAAAGACAGTAGAATGAATCAGACATAACTTTCCTATGTTCATATATGAATACACAACCAGTATGACTCCACAGCATGTACAACCACAAGAATCTGAAGTTATACTTCATATGTTAATATGTCAAAATATATTCTATTGTCATGTATAGCTAAAAAGAACAAATAAAAAAGATGGCTGCTATTGATATTCCTCTTGCCTGAAAAACAGACAATTCTAAACTATAAGATTATTATGAAGTATAGATAATATAATTTATGCACAATATCTAGCAGAATATTTAGATATGCCACTAATGAGGCTGTCCTTTGCCTTTTTGGTGGTGAATCTGAGGTTCAACTTGTATTGGGAGTCCCCAAGACCACTTCCAGGTTTGGTGATTTGTTAGGAGGATCCACAGGACTCAGCATCTTATCTTATTCAGGGCTATGATTGATTAGAGAAAAAGGATACAAAGCAAGATCAGCACAAAGGAAAAGTGCATGGGATGAGGCTCAGAGGAAACTGAGTGCAAGCTTCCAAGAGTTCACTTGCAGTGGAATCACACAGGCACGCTTAATTCCTCCAGCACTGAATTGTCATGATTCATGTTTTGTTGTTTGCTAGGGAAGCTCATAAGAGACTTGGTTTTTACTGGGGACTGGTCACCTAGGAACTCTCTACCTAGCATGTACCCAAGTCCCAAACTCTCAAAAGTAAAGCAGGTATTCAGCACAAACCACTGGGCTTGGACAGCCTAGACACAATGAGTCACTCAGATCACTTAGAAGTTTCCTATTAACGTGGGATCTGCTGGCCATGGCCAACCTTGCACCCAGGCCTTTCTAGGGATGGCAGTCTCAGGCCTGCTGTGTTAACTCCTTCCTGCATACACAAAATATGGTATTGCCCATTTTTCCATATTAAACTCAAAGTAATTAGGAAGATGCCCCCTTTCGCCAATGAAGGATCTGGGCAACTCACATTTATTCTTGCCTAGGACTGGTTTCTTCCAAAAAAAAAAAAAGGAATCTAGAAGTGTATTAAGGTACAATTGTCTAGTTATTTGCAAAAATCCACTAAACTGAACTTAAAGACAGGGCTCCTGTCTCTTTTTTGCTGCTATGTGTCTGGGGGCTGGGGTTGTGGCTCAGTGGGAGAGCGCTTGCCTAGCATGTGTGAGGCACTGGGTTCGATCCCCAGCACCACATAAAAATAAATAAAGATAAAGGTATTGTGTCCATCTACAACTAAAAAACTATAAAACAAACAAACAACTGAATGTCTGTTTTGCTTCTTCCAGGTGTCTTCATGGTGTTTTTCTTCCCATTCTCCCTCACTGCGTTTTACTGTCTGATGTGGTCACTCTCCTACATCTTCTTCCCAGATGCTGTGTGGAGCAGGGCAGCCTGTTTTAGATTCTAGCACTGAGGAGCTGCAGCTCTACCAACTCCTGCTGACCTTTGTGGGATTTGTTCCAGCATATCGGGCCAAGCCTGGCCTTATCCTCACTAAAGCTTTTACTTGTGCCTGTGTTGTCATTTGCTAGATAATGCAATCTCTGTTGTCTTGAATCACAGCAACCCACAGTAGGCCTGGAAGCCATTGCTTCTTTCTCTTTATTCAGGGTTCTGGTTCTCTTTGAGGCAAGACTTGTACATGTCATGTGGAACAGATTTTTTTTTTTTTTCCCCAAGCTAAGTTTGGGCTGAGTTTGTGTTCCAGCTCTGTCACTAGCTAGCTGAACTTGTGCATTAAGGTGTATCCCGTGGGAAGGAGAGAGGCCTCCAGAGTTGGTATAGCCTCCATCTTGGCCCTGCTAGATCAGAATCAGAATTACCCTAGTGTTGGGGTGGGCTCATGTTTTACACTTGCGTACGCTACAGAACCTGTCACAGGACAGTTACACTGTCTGCTTGGAATATGTGTAGAGTCTTGTAACTTAAAAATTCTGCCTTTTAACAGTCTAAAGCTTCTGCCTCACGGGCTAGAGATATAGCTCAGCTGGTAGAGTGCTTGCCTTGCATGCATAAGGCCCTAGGTTCAATCTCCAGCACTGCAAAAAACAAACAAAAAACCTCCTGCCTGTTACTTTGGTACAGATTGGATGAATTGGCAGCACAGGGCATCCTCTGGCTTCCTGGATGTCTTTCCTAAACTCTCAACACTAAACTCTAGATAATAAAATGCTACTTCATCTCCTACATACATCAAATATAGTATTGTCCATTGTCAAATGATTGTCAAATACAAATCAAATAGAAATAAACAGTATTGTATGGTAAAGTTGTGCTCACAGAGAACTTGGGTCCACTGGATATAGTGAGCCACAATGTGGCCCTTGGACTTTGGATCCAGATGGGACGCCAAGAGGATGGCTGGTGAATTCTGCTCCTTGCCCAAAGGTGGCGCCAGAGCACCTTTTACCACATCTGACTTTGAAGTTTTCACAAGTGCTTGTGGTAAATAAGCATCAAATTTACAGTAGGATTTTTAAAAAATACTAATCCAAAGAAGCCCACATCACTCTGATTTAACTGTAGAGGAGCAGGTAGCATCCTCTTCTCTACTACTTTCTAGTCATGTCTCTTACATCATTTGTATTGTCCTCATGGTTAGATGAATATTCTGTATCCCACTAAAGTTTTAAACTGCTTCAGTTTACATTTACATAGTTCTGTGACAATAATATTTACTTTGTAGATGAATTGATTTGTGGATTCTAGTGAGTTATACACAGGTTACTATACTATAGTACCTTAGTGGAATCTGAGGGGTCTAAGCAGTTCCACTAGTCTTAAACTCTGGGTTGAGTGTAGATGTGCCTCTTGATCTGCTATTCCCAACCTGAAGGACTATTTTGTCTAGTGAGCAGACCCAAATGACAGAGAATTCTGCTACATTTTTAGCTCTGTAAACTTGAGTAAAGTGTTTAATTTCTCTCAACCCACTTCCTTATCATAAAGTGGAAGATTTACTTCCTCCCAGGGTTTTATGGACTAAATACAATGCATAAAATACCTAGAATAGTGAATGACATGGAAAAGGTGTTAAATGCTAAATTGCTCTTTTTCTCCTTTCTACCTTCCTCTTCTCATATATATCCTTCAACTTAAAATAATGGTAATAATAGTTCATATCTACAATGTACATACAGTAAATGCATAATTAATATGTATTATGTGAAGAACTGTCCTTGCATTTTACTGTTTCACTTAATGCCCTAAACAATCCAGTGAGGTAGGGGACCACAGGCTTAAGGCCAGAAGTTCTCAAAGTATGGTCTGTAGACCTCTGGGGTTCCTGAGACCCTTTCAGGATCAAAATTATCTTCTCAATAATCTGAAAACAGGGACTGCAATGTTACTGTGATGTTTTTACTAATGGAGCAAAATCATGTCTTGTTGTGACTCCAGCTGGTCCTGGGAGTCAGGGCACTTTCCACCACCACTGGCTCCTTTAAGGAAAACAAAGCAGTTTCACTTAAGAATGCTTTTGATGAGGCAATAAAAGTTATTAATTTTATTAAATATTCACTCTTGAGTGTACCTTTTTAACATTTTCTGTGCAACGAAATGGAAAACATGCCTGAAATACTCCTGCTGTATACAGAGGTAATGTTTTCTCCAGGAAAGTCCTGGTTTGAGTTTGAGTTGAACTGACTTCTTTCCTTATGAAACAACAAAGGATTATTAACAGACAAACTAGGGTTGTTCAGACTGGTTTTCTTGAAATATGAATTGAGTAAGCCTGTCACTTCAAGAAACATTCTTTGTTGCCAGGGATAAAATTTTAGTTTCCATGTGAAAATCTGTTTTTTGGGAAAACTTGTATCTATCATTGTGAGCTTGACCCCTTTCTAATTCTCTTTAAGAGTTTTCCTGTGAGTTTGGTGGGATATGAATGAATATGTACTTTTGATGTTGCATAATGCAATGTGTCAACATTGGGAAGACCAGCATAATTCAGTGAACCGGGTATTTTCGAAATGACCAATGCATTTATGGTTTAGTGCATTGGTGCATGCCTGTAATTCCCGCAACTCAGAAGGCTAAGGCAAGAGGATTGTAAGTTCCAGGCAGCCTGAGAACTTACAGAGATCCTGTCTCAAAATAAATAAGTTCTGGGGATGTTGCTCAGTGGTAGAGTGCCCTTGGGTTCAGTCCCCAGTATCACAAATGCTTGTGCACATACACAGTTAATTTATAATGGACTTTTATTCTACATTTTAAAATTAATTAACATTTCAAACTTTTATTCATTTATAACATGGCAAAATGATACATACAACCTGCATAAACAAAAGTTCTTTTGGGTCCTTAATTTTAAGTGTAAAAATGTCCTGAAACCAAAGTTTACTTGCACACACAATTAGTAAGTAATAGACCTAATTAAACCTAGACAGCCTGACCTCTGTCAATGTTCTCATTATTGATTTTTTTGATGTAGGGCTTCAAAAAGATGATCTCTTACCTCAGGATTAGGGAATCCTAGGCAGATGAGCAGAATGTGTTCCTAGTTTTCACTGATTATACCTATAAGAGTCTTGGCATTCAATGCTATTCCAATTATGGACAAAAAGGCATCTGGAGCCCTTACCCTAGTATTATTCAGAAGATGACTCCTTTTTGTTATTTAAAATATGAATAAAGTGATGACCCATTCCCATCTTGGGTCAGGTTTTTTTTTTTTTGGGGGGGGGTAATGCTGGGGATTGAGCCCAGGGCCTTGTGCATGCCAGGCAAGTGCTCTCCCACTGAGTGACATCCCCAACCCTCAGGCATCTTCTTGTACCTCAAATTTTTCTGTAAAGCTGTAACTCAGTAAGAGATAACATTTGTATCAAATTTAATATAAGCATATGAATATATATAAACATATAAACCTGAAACAAAAGCTTCATGAAACAATATCCTTATCATATATGATTTTGTTTATTTTTTCTTTTGGTTCTGAGGATTGAACCCAGGGCCTCAGCATGCTAAACACACAATCTACCTCTGAGCTACACTTCCAGCCTTCACGTATGATATTTTCAAATTTATCTCATTAAAAAGAAAAGTCAATTTAGTAAGCTGATTTTAAAACCACCTGTAGTTTGAAAAACACTGCCCTACTAGGATGCTTCTCCAGGACAAAAGTATACCCATGGATGAGACATGTTAATACAAGCAGTTCAAGAAGGGTAGGAATCTTTCCAAACAATCTCTTGTATTACTTGGTTATTAGAAAGTTAAAGCATTTCCTATGAAACAATCTGAAAGGTAATTGGGAAGGGAAACAGCCCCATCTAGCACAAACATTATTTATTTCTCAATATTGATCCTGAGAGGAAGAAAACATTATTCCATTAAGTAGATGGGAAAAATGAGGCTCAGAGAGGTTAACAGATACTTAACTCAGGCCATTTGGCTTCCAAACCGTGCTCTTTCTGATATATTAACAGCAGTTCCTTATGTTTATACGAATAGCTCCCTTGAACAGCCACTCCTCCAAAAAGAACAAAACAAAAAATTCAGCCAAAATTTAGCAGGACACTATAGAACTAATTACCATTAATGGGAATAATCTATGGATTATCCATAGTTATAATTTGGGCTTTCAAAAACACATCCTCACAGTGGTAGCAAGTTTCTAACACTCCCTTAACTCCCCCAATTTACTCTTAAAATAAGCCATAGCAGTGGGAATAGTATTCTCAGTGACTTCAGAAGCAGAAGGGAAACAGGAGATAGAGACAGATTGAGAGGTTTCCTGCACACAGTAGGAAAAATACAGGCATTTTCAGGTTGGAGTGGGGGAGGTGGTAGTGGTTGTCTCCTCTGCCCTGAGAATCTGCCTCATTTCCATCTTTGTTCAGCTCTCTGAAATCTTTTTCCCCAATTCCCAAATAAAATATCCTGAAAGAATAATCTCTTTTTGCTCAGCATTAAACATGTTGGTATGAACTACCATTCCTGATACATACTTGTTTCCTGAGGCAGAAACAACTTTACATTTCTACCCCTAAAAATGAAAGTTGGATGGGTAGATGTTTGGTTTCTGAGGGACTAGTCTTAATATTCCCATCACAAACCTAACCCTGACAGAGTGGCACCCAAGATGAAAAACAAAAAGCACTTGTTCTGGCCCCTGGCAGTCAGGCAGTCAGCGTTAAGCCTACTGCTAGTACTCTGCAGTCACAGGTAAGGGGGCCCAAGCTTCCAGCCTGGGGCCCTGGCTAGCTGCTCAAGTGGGAGTCCAGGTCACACATTTTTACCTGTGAGATCAAAGTCTGTGATCAGTAGGGTCTTCAGAGCTTTAGCCCCTGAGTAGCACCAGGAACAGCCATGGTCCTCCTATCCATCCAGCTCCTGGAGGAGGAAGGGCTGTTGGCTCACCCCCGCATTTCTTACCTACTACTTTCTTTACTTATTCAACGGTTAGGCATTCCCAAGCTAAAGAATGAGCAAATGAACATTTTATTAGTATTTTATTTGCATTTTTAGAGAAGATACACAGTTTCACAAGAAACACTGATTTTTCTCAAATAATAGAAAAAGGTTCTTAAAAAAGAATATTATCTTAGAAGAAAACAAGTCTCTTCAGCAAGCCAGGGCCAATTCATACTGGAGGAACCAGTGAAGTGGAAGTTACACATAGGAAGAAAGTTCAGGTTTATGCGTAAGTGTCTTCTTGTCTTGTCTGTAAGGGCAACCTTAGCTTAACACTGGTAATAAGCTCACAGACAAAGCCTCCAGGGTCCAACGGTTGCACACAGGGCTGGCTCACTCTCCAGGAGGCTGCATCTGTTTACAGAACTCATCAAACTGCTGTTGCTCCAGTTCCGTCATGACTCTGTTGAGAGCATAGATCTGAATGGAGAAACAGATATGTTAGCAACGGAAGCAGCTGCTCAGCACAGTCTTCAGACACAATAGGCTAAGTCATCTGAAAATGCTGGAACTGCACCAGTAATGGTAACGCAGGGAGAAGGGTTTGGGAACAGGAAGGTAGGTATTAATTCCATCTGGGGAGTCAAGAAAGAAGCAGTGAGGGAGGTGACTTGGTCTTTAGGGAATGGTAGGCTCTGAAGAGATAGAGACAGATGGGACTTGATAGATAATGGGAGGAGTATTATGCATAAATAAATATGAAGGAAAAGAACAGGATCAGTTCTGGAATTCAAGTAAGAATACAGAGTGGAGGTTGGGGAGTGGGAGAAAGCAAAACAAGTATGTTGGATCCTCAAATGCCATCCCAAAGAATCTAGACATTATCTGCAGACTTCGGAGAGCCAGGAACGATAAGTGTGCAGGGGAGCAAGCCAATTCTATCTGTGCTTTGGGAAAGATAACTGGAGGCCACATGAGGGATGGAGTGGTGGTGGGAGATCATCAGTCACCCAGGAGGCACCAGGGAGACTGTGGGACTATGGCCTAGGGTAGTGAAAAGAACTGCCGACAGACATTCCAAAGTGAAAGGTGGGAGTCTACATCTTCTTCCTCATTCCTTCTTCCTCACAGTAATTTACCTATCTATTAAAGAACAGAAACCAATCATAAAACTTCCCAATGTGCAGAATAATGTGGTTTCTGTGTGTCTAGGAGATATAATTTGGTTAATTGAAAAGAAGACATGAAAGGAGAAAAAAAATGAAATGAGACAGGACAAACAGAAATACAACAAAAGAGCAGAGAGTAATACAATAACAACCAAACATACAATGGAGAGGATCACCAAAACTACAAGATGGCTCTTGGAAAAGTACTAAAACACCCCTGAAAACCTGGAATGCCTGATCAATATGAAAAGGGAGTGGGCATGGCAAGCATCATTAGGAACTGAAAAGAGCACAGGACCATGGACGTGACAGAGATGAAAACAAGACACCATGAATTTGTGTCAAGACATTTGAAAGCTTCCTATTTCTAGAGAAAGCAAACTGAACTGATCAAAGCTTACTAGAAAGCTTGATCTTATCATCTTTAAGGAAAAATAAATTCCACACAGTGATGAAAATAGTGACAACTACAAACGATTTCCCCCAAAATGTAACGCTGATGGTGAAAATGGTAAATTGTATTTTATGTATATTTTGCCAAAAATAAAATAATTTGAATGGTTAAAAAATGTTGAGTGCTAGATGCAGTGGTGCATGCCTGTAATCCCAGTGGCTCAGGAAACAGTGGCAGGAGGAGTGTGAGTTCAAAGCCAGCCTCAGCAACTTAGTGAGCCCTTAAACAACTTAGTGAGACCCTGTCTCAAAATAAAAAATAAAAAGGGCTGGGGATGTGGTTCAGTGTTTAAACACCCCTGGGTTCAATCCCCAGTTACTGGCTCCCCCCCAAAAAAGTTGAGTGAAGACAGCTAGTCACAAGAAAGACAGACAGGCACACACAGACACACACATACACAATGTATATAGAAGTTCAGAAACATGAAAAACTAAATGATATATTTAGTTTATATAATTAGGACTACAGAGAGATAGTAAATTTATAGAGAACAGCAAGGGGAAAAGATTAGCAAAAAATTAAGCAAGAACACTGCTTATGTAAAGGGTCAAGTACATGACCAGAAAGGTGTTCATAGTTTCCAAGTTCTGGTCATGTACTAGTTCTTAAATTGAAAGGTAGATACAAGGGTGTTTTATTCTTTAAACTATATATACACATTATATGAATATGTGTATGCGTGTTTCTAAAAATCTCTGTCCCATTCACTTGGTAACTAACAAGCATTTGTAATCTGCATATTACTGGGCTGGGGCCTGAGAGGGATATTAAATAGCTTTTTGGAGCCCTCCACTTTAGGAAGGCAGTGGCAGGAGAAAGGGGAAAACAAAATAGGCAGGGGAAGAAGAGAGTCAAAATGCGTCAGGGTGTCCAAGCCAAGGAATGAAAGGCTTTTGGTCAAGAAGGAAAGGGTCACTAATAGTGTCAAATACTGCTTCAGCTGCCAAATGTGCCTCATTCCCATTCATCCCTCACATCTTCTTCACATTGAACTTTCTGGAATGTGGCATCTTTGCAGAGCTGAATGGAAAATGCTGCTTCCTGTGAGGGGGTCTTGTCACATTGCTATTTTACATGATTACATTCCAGGCAATACAGATAAAGAAAATAGCAAGGAAGCTGTAGGGCAAAGCAAAAAACAGACAAGGGTAAGAAGGCCTGTTCAAACTATAGGCCTGCCCCTGGTCACATCACTTTGTCACTTTGCTTTAAAGGATCTTACCTCACAGGGTCATATGTTTTATATATCCATACCTTATTCCAGGAAGAATTTACAAAGGATAAAATGGGAATAACAATAATACCTGTGTTGGTGGGGGGATTACAAATGTTCATGCATGTGCAGGCTCGGCCCAGTCCTGGCACATCCTAAGAGCTCAACAAGTGCCACCTGCCACTAGACTGCAAACTCAGAATACATCTTAGCAAAAGAACACAAACAGGATGTTCATTTTGCAGTCCACATGAGGAAAAAAGCAGACTGCTTGGAAGCACCATGATTCCTGATCATAATTGCTGCTGCTTATGGAATGCTTTCTCTGTGCCAGGCACTGTATTAAGTGCTTTACATATGACATTTCTATTCCTTATAATAGTCTTGTGAGGTAGACAGTTGCATCCTCATTTTACCAAGCAGGCACTGAAGAAGTGAGGTTCAGCAGGGTGCAGTGGCACATGCCTATAATCCCAGCAGCTCAGTAGGCTGAGATAGGAGGATTGCAAGTTTAAAGCCGGCATCAGTAATAGAGAGGTGCTGATCAACTCAGTGAGACCGTGTCTCTAACTAAATAGGGCTGGGTATGTGGCTCAGTGGTTGAGTGCCCCTGAGTTCAATCCCCAGTACCAAAACAAAAAACAAAAAAAACAAACACATTTCTGAAGAACTGTGTGAACTGAGGTTCAGAGAAATTAAATTTCTCTTTCAGGGTCGCTGTGATTTGAAATCAGACAAATAATTTCAACTTCTGCAACCTCACAGGAAGAGTATCAATAAGGACATGAACAATGTTCTCAGTATCTATCTTTATAGTGTGCACAAAGGATGATTTCATAGGGTTGTTTCTTATAGCAACTCTCAAACTGTTTGCCAAAGCATGATGCAATAAAACCATCCAGTAAAGGAAAGGGCAGAACCACTTGTTAGAACCCAAGAGCATACCTTTCAGATGGTCTGCTTTAATCGAGAGGTAGATTTTCATTTACAGATTAACTTCAGACATGCTGTTATATTTATTACATTTACTGGAATGCAAGCTCCATGAAGGCAGGGACTCTGCTTTGTCCAGTCATGGGTCTCAAGTTCCTAGAATAGTGCCCAAAACAGCAGTATGGCTGCTGTTTGTTTGCAGTACTGGGGACTTAATCCTGAGCATGCTAGGCAAGCATTCTACCACTGAGCTACATCCCTGACCTTTTTATTTTACTTTGAGACAGGGTCTTGCTAAATTTCACAGGCTGGCCTTGAACTTGTTATTTTCCTGCCTCAGTCTCTCCCAAGTAGCTGGGATTACAGGTATGTACTACCATGCTCAGTTTCTGTATTTGTTTATCAAATGGATCAGATTAACAAAATTAAAAGTTTGGCAATATTAAGAAGTGAGAAGTCTCATACTGCTAGTGGGGGTACAAGTTTGTACAATCGCTTTGAAAGCAATTTGGCAATGTGTAGTAAAACTGAGAATGTAATTCAGTAACTCTTCCAGTTAAATATCCTATAGAAATCCTAGCACAGATGCCAAAAGAAACATCTCAAAGGTTATTACAACAGCAAACCTTTTTTGTTTGTAAAAGCAAAAAACAAAAAACCTATAACTAAAATGTCCGTCACTGGAGAAATGGGTAAGTATACAAAATAAGGTAGATTTATAAAATAAGACTGCTATAGAGAGAAATTAACTAGATTCTTATGTTAAAATGAAGAGCTCTAAAATAATGCAAACAAAATGCAAAAATGCACAGAATTTTATTAATGTAAAAAGTTAAAACAAGAATATTGTACATTGCTCAAGGATATCTGTTAATATATTTGAATGTAAATGTATAAAAATATTGCTTACCTTTGGGAAGGGAAAAGGATAAAGGACATGAAATAAACAAAGAGGTATTCAATTTACATTTTTTTTTTTTGGTACCAGGGATTGAACTCAGGGGCACTCAACCACTGAGCCACATCTCCATCCCTATTTTAAATTTTATTTAGAGACAGGATCTCAACTGAGTTGTTTAGAACCATGCTTTTGCTGAGGCTGGTTTTGAACTTGTGATCCTCCTGCTTCAGCCTCTTGAGCCGCTGGGATTACAGGCGTGCACTACTGTGTATGGTTTACACATGATTTTTTTTTATCTTATTTTTAAAAGACTCCAGGCTAATATGACAAAATGCTAACCATTACCAATCTGTGGTGATGAGGACAAGTATTTGCTATAATAGTCTAATCTTCTGTACTCTTGAATTTCTCAAAAAGAACAAAATGAAAAGAGGGGAAAAGACCACCAAGTTTTTCCTGATATTAAATATTAAAATATTCATGTCTGGATGTGGTTTAACTTTAGCACTATAAACAGTTTAAAGATTTTTGGGAGGAGGCAGATACTGAGGATTGAACCCAGGGGCATTCTACCACTGAGCTACATCTCTGGCCCATTTTATTTTTTATTTTCAAACGGGATCTCAACTAAGTTGTCCAGGCTGGCCTCAAATTTGTGATCCTTCTGCCTCAGTCTTTTGAATTGCTGGGATTACAGGCATGCTCTGTGGCATTCAGCTCAGTTTGAAGTTTTTTATTCTTAAATTGATTTTAAGTGTTGAGAGAACAAAGGAATACATGGGTAGGTTTAAAGCTTGGGGCTTTACCTGCTATGAGTAGAGCTAGTTTTTGTACCAAATCCAGAACATGTGTGCTGGGGTATCTAACCCCAGTTTGCTTGCCTGCTCTCCCCTGCTGGCCACATTCTGACCTTCCCTTATGCATGGCTTCTTTATCCTATCACAAAAGCCAGGTGCCAGAAGTCATCTGAAGACTTGGTGTGGTTTGAGATTCTGACACTAACTTTTGGTCTGTCACCTCACCATTCTGGACCTCTCTAAATCTGGAAGAACCCCTTCCGTGCCTAGAGGCAAGCAGTGATCCTCTTCATAATTCTTCTTTCTATTGTTTGTTATTCTAGCATCTTATTCAGCAGACTACAGGCATACAGAGCCCTCTCCTTACTCTCACCTCTGCTCTTTGTCTTTGCTTCAGCTCCTGCTGGGCTGATTTCTGCTTAGCCTTCTCCACTCTGCTGACAGGTTCTTTAACTTTGGATTTTTCCTTACGTGCAGGTGGATCCATGGCTTGGCTTCTGAAAAGTTCTTTGCTCTGACCTGGATTGTATAGAAAGGGGCAGATGAAAGAAAGAAACAGAGAGAAGAAAAGAGAAGGGGGGGGAAGGGAAGGAAGGGGAAGGAAGGGGAGGGGAGGGGCAGACAGGAAGGGGAAGGGGAGGCTGTAACTCGCCTAATAGTAACTCAGCCCATTCCTTTGACAGGTGAGGCATTTAGAGTGGCCTGATAAGAGAGAAAGACCCCTCGACCTCGCTGGACGTCCCTAGGCAATTCTCCTTTTCACTCTGAGCCTTAGTTTTCTGTCTGCAAAATGGGACAATCGTCCCTTCCCAGGCTTCCCTCCAAGAACTACCGCGTGAGCATCAGCTGAGAAGGCCCAGTGACAGCGGTCCGAACGACGCAGCTGCTGTGCCCAGCGCGGCGCGGTTACAGTTAGGACACCGAGGCCGAGGGGGCAGGCTGGCCCAATTCCTGCAGCGGAAAGGTCGGAGCCCCTTACCCAGCCTCGGGGCCAGGACATCCCCCACTGCCCGGCCCCGCAGTCGCCGGCCCACTCTGCCCGCAGGACACCCGCTGCCGGCGCTCCCGGGCCGGCCAGCCTGTCCCACAGCCCGCCCCGGCCCGCCCCCCGGCCCGCCCCAGTGCAGCGACGGCCCCCTTCCTTCCCGCGGCAAAATGGCGGCTCGGGATTCGGTGCCTTCCCTACCGGGCCTCGGACTTTGGGCCTCGACACCGTCGCAGACCCGGGCCACGTGGAGGATACCCTTGCCTCTCCCCTTCCGCCAGACTCGGGGAGTCCAGCCCGCCGCCAGCGGACTGGGCCGGCCCCGCCAGGAGGGCGGGGCCGCGAGTGGGGACTCCCCCGCCCACGGGAACAGCCGCGCATGTGCAGAAAGCTCGTCTGGGCGGCCCTGAGGGAGCCGGGGACGGGGTCGGGTGGGCCTGGGCGGGGCCTAGACGGGGTGGGCCGGGGCAGGGGCGGGGTTACAACTAACAAAAGCTTTCCCAGATAAGCTGTGTTTATAAATGCTGGAGTTTTATAGGGCCGCAAAGAAGAACAAAAGTGGAAAATGGATGGAACTAAAGAGCATCATGTTAAGCGAAATGAGCTAGACAGAAGGACAAGTATTGTATGTTTTCTCTCATGTATGGAAGCTAGGGGGAAGAAAAGAAAAGAAAAAAAATTATATGGGGGGGGGGGGCGGGAATGTTAAGGAAAGTAGAAAGGAGACCAATAGGGTACAGAAGGAGATCCAGGAGGGAGGAAGGTAGAGTCAATGGGGAGTGAAATTGAACAAATAATGTTATAATAGTATATGAATGTACCAACATACCAGAATGAAACCCATTCTTTACTGCTGTGTTAATATAAAAGTTTAAAAAAAAATTTAAAAAAGCTTTTCCAGGGAATATTTTCTGAGACAGTTGCTAGGCTTTGAAGGGTGAGATCTGAATCCTGGGATTGGAATTGCTCAACACTGTATTTTGAAGCTTCATTTTTTAAATTCAAAAAATTAGGATTGTGATTGCTTCATTTCTAATTCACGGTTTATTTAGGAGGATCAAGTGAGATCCTGTTTGCCACAGTGCTTTGAAAGAGGAAATCTTTTTTTTTAAAATTTTTTAGTTGTAGTTGGACACAATACCTTTATTTTATTTTTTATTTTTATGTGGTGCTGAGGATGGAACCCAGCGCCTCGCACATGCTAGGTGAGCACTCTACCGCTGAGCCCCAACCCCAGTCCTGAAAGAAGAAATCTTAACAGAAATACAAATAGCCAGTGTAAACATAGAGAAACATAGTCTACAGATAATAGAAGACTTGTAAGTTAAATAATTATCTGGGAATCATTTTCCATTTGTTAGACTAACAAGAATTCACCAAAGAAGTTAAATGATGTGATGGTGGTGGTGATGATGATGATGATGATGATGATAGCTTCCTCTTTTTTGGGCTTCCTATATTCCAGGCATTGTTCTTAGAACTTTATTAACTCATCTATTCCTTATAATAAATATTTATAATATATACATGTATAGCAGTAAACTATTATTTTCCATATATATATGGAAATAATATAATATATTATTATATATAATATATATAATAATTATATATACATATATAAAAATATATTTATATATACATATATATATATATATATACATATATACATATATATACATATATATATATATATATATATATATATATATACACACACATATATATATAAACTAGGACACTAAGCCAGTATTTTAGCCAGAATTTACAGGACAATGCCTATCCAAAAGAAAAGATGCTCAGGCCCACTCCCTTTGTTCCTCTGTCAAAGAATGATGAAACAAATGACAGATGGTAAGCAGTGAATGCATTGCCCAGGTAGACACTCATTTATTCCCAATCTGTGTAAGTTGTTACATCATCTTTGGAGGCCACTTTAGCACTAGATATCAAAAGCCTTAATAAACACACTGCACAAAAAAGATAGTTATGGCTTAATTCCATTTACATAGGTAGCTAAAGTAGTCAGACACTAAGAAACATCAAACAGTATGATGGTTGCCAGGGGCTGAGGGGAGGGGGAAAGGAAAGTTATTGATCAGTGGATAGAGTTTGTTTTGCAAGATGAAAAGCTTCTGGAGATGCATTGCACAAATGTTAGTACTATTGTACTGTACACTAAAAGTGGGTAAAATGGTAATTATCTTATACCTCAATAAAAAAAAAATGAGTACAACCTTTGACTAAGCAATTTCACTTCTAAGAAGTTAACCTAGGTAAACAATCAGACAATTCTAAGAGGGAAAAAAACTGGAAAGAACCTACATCTTTATATTAAGGGTTGATAACATGAATTCTATGCAGTCATTAAAATGACATAAAAAGTTATTGTCATGAGATATTTTTAGTATATTAAATAAAAAAGCTACAAAGAAGCATATACTGTCTAATTGTACTATTTGTTTACAGTCTAAAAAAAATTATACACACATGGAGCTGGGCATGGTGGTGCAGGTCTGTAATCCCAGCAACTCAGGAAGCTGAGATAAGAAGATAGCAAGTTCCAGGCCAGCCTCAGCAACTTAGCAAGACCTTGTCTCAAAATTAAAAAAAATAAATAAGACTAGGAATGTAGCTTAGTGGTAAAGTA